GCCTCCAGAACAAGGTTCCCTGATGATTTATGCAGACCACAATGACAAGTCAAGAGGCATGACTCACCTCGGAATTAAACCATTATAAATAACTTGTCAGGGACGCCTTTCCAGTCTGAAGAACATTTCTCTCTTAAAACTTTCACAACAAGATCCTGGTTATGTTATGAAATGAAACACCCACTCATTTTCCACATCTCCCTGCTCTCCTGAGCCAAATTTTAACGTAAATGGGCAAATTAAACGTAGCCTATTGCTTACCTAACATAATTATATGTTGCAGTTTACACTGATTCAAAGCGGATACATTAAAACAATCCTGCCTTGGCTCCTACCCACTGCAGCCGGCAAAGGTTATTAAGGGCAATCGCCATGCACAGGGCCTGCTACGGTAGCACCAGGGACAGTTGAGACAGGAAATGGCTCAGAACACAGAGGATGAGCAAGAGCCACTTTCTCCCGACAGAGAAAAAGCAACAACAGAATGCATGAAGAAATCCCCGCAGTCCATAAATCATCGGCTTCTCTGGGTACTTCCTCGGGATGCTGGGCTGGAATAATTCCACTGGATTTTATCAAGTGGAGGTTTTTAAGGTCAAAAGGAAATGAATAAATGTCATCAATTTAGAGGATTTCACACCCAGCATTCTTTTCAGTCTCCCCGTGAATTTGATAGTGTTAAAACATTTTTATAGGTAAAATAAATGTCAGTTTTGCAAAGAGCGATACCAGCCCCTGGGAGACAAATGGCCTATCCACTGGATCTCAGGCCGCGGCGTGACTCGCCGCCTCACTGGAGACCTCAGCTTTTCATCCCCCTCTTCAGCCGGCAAGAAAAGCTTGCATGGCTTCTTTCAAATGATAACTCTCCTATCCCAAAGAGTCTCCTCAGAATATGATAATCTTGGATGAGAGGTAGTGGGGTTGGCTGAAAAAACTAAAATACAAATATGTGAATAGTGCCCAGTGTTAGAAGACTTCTTGAGTGCAGAGCAAAGAAGGCAAGAAAGGCTCGACCTTGGTACAGAGGGTCAGGCTACTGTGGGCTCGATGCTCAATGAATTCACAAAGTAATATTCAGGGGAGATGTGAGGTTTTATCAGAATGTCATTCGAATATAAGGTTTAACATTTACATCACAAGAGCAGGCACGGAGTAAAACTGTCCTCCAGGAGAGAAGTGGCAGGAGAATGTGCCAGAGCAGAGCGTGCCTACTGGGCCACCGAGTGGGCAGCAGAGGCCTGGGGAGTTTATGCACAGCCGACTATACTGTCTGAAGTGTGAGGCTGGTTAGGACATGTGCGGTGTTACCACTAACGGAGGAATAGCTATTTCAAAACTCCTTTTCCATTCTCCTATAGGCTTCTGGAGACTGTCCCTCCCTCCCAACCCCATGAGAAAAAGGGCAGAAAAGACGGAGAAAAACAATACTCGCCTCTCCCCTGGTGCAAGGGCCATCAAAGGCTGTTTACTCATAAATGAAAGGGGGGAAAGTAATGCATGCAGTGTCCAAAGTTTGAGGTCCTATTTTCTCATTGAAAAAGATAGAAGATAAACTGTAGAACAGACAAAATGCAGTGATCAAAGGCATCTTTCCACAACACTCACATGACTCAATAACTCAAAAAAAAAAGAAACCCCAGAAAGATAACAAAGCATCGCTCCTCTGAAATCATAACAATTTAGAGTAATATATTCCCTAGAAGAAAAGTCTGAACATCCAGAAATGCCCTTTCGATTAGCTTAATTCCACAGAATCCAAATGTGCACCAAACACTGCACTTTTGATGTGAAATTGCTGTTGAATTTGTGAACCCACAACTGATTTCCTGTGTTATGGAATCCTGGAGATTACAGTTAACTTGAAGCAACAGGGATAATTCTTGGCAGTTAATGGGACATTTATATGCATTTTCCTGAAAGGCAGCATCTTGGGACTGCCAACAGGCAGCTCAACATTGCCCCCTACTGCTGACAAGTTTAAGAAAGCTGAAGAAGGGCTGACAGCCAGACTCCCACTGGCCAATGATTTCACCCCCATACCCAAACACCACGTGGCTCTGCACTAAAGCTGCCCAGCCAGGGATTCTTTCTAAGACTGGTCTCTGCTGCGTCTTCCAACAGCAAAAACAACTTACCATGAGTTTAGGCTCAAAGTATTGTTCAGCTTAATTTAGAAGAACCCTCCCTTTGAACTCGGTCCAAACCTGCATTCTGCTGATAATTATCCAGCTGTGGTATTCGGGAGAGACACTAGAATGCTCCACCAAGTACAAAGAACTGCACTCTGGAAAATTCCCTGGACTGCTACTCCTCATAGTATTTTTTCTGGTATGAATACAATAAATAGAAGATACTTCCTTTAACTAATGTGCCACTACTACCAAATGTGTACATACACATATGGAGACTACACTGTCCACACTTGTATCTACAAAATGTGTGTGTGCACATATGGAGAGACTTCATCCATCTACACTCATATCTTTTCAGTGAATTAATAATAAGCATCACTGGTGTGATCACAATACTAAAACCTTCACTGTTTCACTGGGGGAGGGGGAGATGCTCCTAAATGAAAGGAATAAAAACTTTTTAAAAATCATTTTGCAAAATGACTGAGTTCTCTTATTTGTTTCTAAGATTTCATTTACTCGTATAGGAGGTCCTTCTGTATTTGTGTTGCTTTCATTGGTTGAATAAAGAAACTGCCTTGGGCTTTTGATAGGGCAGCCCTTAGGTGGGTGGAGTAGACAGAACAGAATGCTGGGAAGAAGGAAAGAGTGGCAGATGCCATGAATCTCCGGCCTGAGATGGATGTAGGTTAGAATCTTGCCGGTAAGTCACAGTCACGTGGTGATACACAGATTTAATAGAAATGGGTTAATCAAGATGTGAAAATTAGCCAATAAGAGGCTTCTTCTTCTTCTTCTTCTTCTTCTTCTTCTTCTTCTTCTTCTTCTTCTTCTTCTTCTTCTTCTTCTTCTTCTTCTTTTTTTTTTTTTTGAGACAGGGTTTCTCTGTGTAACAGCCCTAGCTGTCCTGGAACTCACTCTATAGTTCAGGCTGTCCTGGAACTCACAGAGACTCACCTGCCTCTGCCTTCTGAGTGCTGGTATTAAAGGTGTGCGCCACAACCACCTGGCTCAAATTATAATTCCAAAGTCAGGCTGATATCTAAGAATTAGGCCTCAGCAGCAAGCAGAATTCTAAAACCATACGTAAAATGGGCACTATCCGAATTTCTATGCATATCCTACCGAGGCGGCATTTTCTCCCCAGGCTAGACCACTCTTCATCACCACCAACCTGGCAACACAGTGCTGTTCTGCACTAACTCGAGCTTCGGGGAAATTGATCTTTGAGACTATAAATACATTACAAGGGTAATAGTGTTCTTTCCCCAGACACTGATCCTCGCGAAGGATCTCAGAGATCTGCATTCGGATTCATGGTTTTAAGCTGAGGCCCTCATATCTGTAACTTGGTATTTTCATTATTGTAAAACAGGGGTTGGGGAAGATATTATGTTAACATCTTTATCAAAACAATAACACTAAATGGGCAGGCCAAGTGAACTCCTTTGGAGGTGAGAGACAGGTTTCAGCATGGGCTATAACTATGGCTTCATAGGTTATATTTATCTTTCAATTCATTAAACCGTATGCATGATGCTTGTTTAGCTTCCTGTATGTCAACCATAGGTCCATAAAGCTGTCTGAAAAACATGTGTGGGGACTGGCAATCACTGGGCACCCTGCAGATGAGCCCACTGCTCTCAGCACTCTTCAGACCGCCAAGTGTCACTCTCTAGAGGTCAACGGCTTTTCCCACCTCCCTCCGCATTCCAAATTCAAGCATTTGGAGGCAGATCAGTGAGCCGACAAAGGGCCAGAAGCCTACAGCAAGTCTTCCAGAGTTCAAATCCCAGCTCTCCCACCTACTAGCTGGTGACCTTGGGAAAGTTACAGAAGGCCTTTGGGCTCCTATCTCCTGATATGTAAAAGTGAGAATAAAGTCAAACCTATCCCACAGGGTCATCACAAACATTAGGTGACAGCAATCTTTAGTACTCATAAAAATACCATGCAAGCATTTACTGTTGTTATTGCTATCCAAGTGGAGGCTTATCAAGTGGCTTCCGCCTGCCACCTCGCTGATACAGTCCATGTTCTACATACCATAAATGCCCTGATTTTTGATCTTGTCTTCACAGTCCCAAGACCTAATGTTCCTCCCCCATTAGCCTACCCCATTCCCTCTTCTCCACATGGTCTCTATCCAGACCAGCACCTTCACAACAGTCCCAGAAGTAATGACCTGAACCTGGTACTGATCTGAACCTTGGTGACTGTGCGGAGGTCAGAGGATGACTCGAGAGTCCATTTTCTCCTCCCATGATGTGGAAGATAGCCCAGAGATGGAACCCAGGTCGCCAGGTTTGGTGGCAACTGTCTTTACATTCTGAGCTATCTTGCCAGTCTGTAACTTTTTTTTCCCCACTGCATGGTTTGATTTTCGCTGAAGTAATATGTGGTGGCATCCACATTTCTCCTTCCTAAATCCTAGGTTACGGTGACTGAACGCATGCGCTTTGCTGCCTGGCAGCCTGTGCTTCCATCTCCCCCATCTGCTTAGTGACCGCGGACAAGCACTTCTCTATACCTCAGATTTCAGAGCTGTACATCAGGGCTCACAACGCCGTCGACGTCAACTGTGGTGGGAAAGCCCTCTGAATAGTGGTTGGAGCATGAGAACAAACGAACTGCTGTTGCCCTGCTCAGGCTGGAGCAGAATGCCTTCTGTGGAGACTATCAGAAATGCTTCCGAAATGAGCTGAGGCTTTGGCGACAAAATTTGCAGACTGTTCCCATTCTCTTACAGGGAATAACCTACCACGATCATGGAGATTAACAACATATACATTTGCCTGTGACGATTAGCTGAAGATCTGCATGGTGCAGTACCCCAGAGAACGTGGTCAGACCTCGGGCACTTACCACACTCTCCATCTTCTTCCACAGCTCCTCCAGCCGAGTCATGGGCTCAGACCACCAATCAGTGCAAAGTTTGTTCCGGTTGCCTTGAAACCAGAACTGCCTCAGCCACTCAAACTCGACCTGTGAACCGGAACAAGAAAGCGGTGTCAGAATGTCCTTGTGACAGACCAACAAGGACAGTGACTTCCCCACTCAGTTCTCCTTTGGCAGCTTCACAGAAGAGGTCGAGGATGGTGAGGAAAGCCTGGCTAACTAGTTCCCAACACATCCTGGCGTCTCCAGAGCTTTCTGCAAGTTAAGAAGATGGAAGTCTTACAGCTGAGGTCCTGCTAGGATGACAATCCAGGCCAGGTTACATGTTTTAGGCAGATATAACAAACATTCAAATCCCGGAGTATAAGCAGCCTCCACTGAGTATGATGGAAAGTCACAACCAAGCAATTAAACATTTTTAGTAAAAGCTGAGAAGGCAACGACACAGGCAGATATTAAGAGTATCCTGTGTCAACTTCTTAGAAAAGAAAGAACTTACCCAAGGGCCAGGAGGAGCTGGTGATAATCTTAGCCACATAAGCAAACAATATATAATTAGGTATAGAGGCATTCAACCTCCTCCACAGCCATTAAGGTTCTCACTTGTTGACTCAGTAAGGGCTGATTGCAATAGGCAAACAGTAGCAAAGATAGAAGGCACTGATTTATGTTCTTTTCTGGGAAGCTACGGAGCTGTTTGTGTTGACCACCTAGAGGCTCCTACCCACAGGATGGACACACAGCTCCCGCCATTGTCCCTTCTTCTGGCTAGGTCCTGTGTATAGGCAGAGCTCCACTTACTAACGGCGAAAGTGGAAACCAGGGTTAAGTCAAACATCCCCGACTGCCCCATTTCTGGATTTTGGAAGGACAGGGCTCAAGACTAGAGAAACTCAAGAAGACTGTAGACATTTTGCTGTCAAACTGAAGACAATATGGCAGGATGGTATTATGAGTTGAGAAGATGAAAATCAGGTCCTGGAGACAGTCCCTGACTGGATGAACTATCTCCGCAGCCCCATTCCAGTCAGCTGACTCCAGTTTAGTTGTCTGATTCTTGCAATGGAAACAGTCTGAACACACAGAGATCAGAGTGTGACCAGCACTGGGTAGACAAGTCTTCCACGGCTTGTCTTCCCCTTGAGCATCAGTTGGTATCAACAGGACAGAACTCCATCTCACCCCAAAACTCCTTTGACTTTGGCAGCAAGTCTAGCACCATGTCATGGTGTCTGCTTTGCAGAGTGATCACGTTCCACACACAGAGCTAAGCTATTGTCACCATCACCTGTGACCACAGAGGACTGCAGGTTGTTTCTCCACGCTGAACGTTCAAAAAGCAAACAAAAAGCAACTTGTGAAGATTAGCAATGGTGAAAATGGCTCAGGTAAGAAACTGGAGAAGACCTAGTCTAATGAAAGGTTTTAGTTTACATTAAGTCAATGTTTGTTTGATGTGTAGAACCGATTTCAGCTAAAGCTGTTTAAACAAAACAGGAATGTGGGCAACATTAAGACAGTTGCTAAACCTTATCTGTGGCATTAAAAGACAGTGGTTGACAGAGGTAAATCTGAGTAGTTTGAAACCAGAATAAATGTGGCCACAGTTCAACTTCAAGGGAGATCCAGGTTTAGCAACACATTTACTACAAAGGAAAAAAAAGAGAGTCTTTTAATGGGTTCCTCATGAAACTATGCATGGACAGAGCAGTTTGACAGGCAGCAGAGACTCAAGCCTGAAGTCAGGGAGAGGTGAAGTGGTTTCCGACTGCTTCTCAACCCTTGGGTCGGTTATTTCACTGAAGAGGACAGAGCTTGGAAGTTGCAAGAGGGGATGAGGGGGACTCTGCCACAGGACAAGAGGGCGTGAGGGGGACTCTGCCACAGGACAAGAGGGCGTGAGGGGGACTCTGCCACAGGACAAGAGGGTGTGAGGGGGACTCTGCCACGGGACAAAATGGCGTGAGGGGGACTCTGCCACAGGACAAGAGGGCGTGAGGGGGACTCTGTCATAGGACAAGAGGGCAAATGCAGAGTCCCGGCCATGCTAAGAAGAAAAACTTCTCTTCACCCTCAGGCACCTGGGGACCTCGGCTCAGAGGGTCAGGGAGCTTGTCACCAAGGCCACCAACCTGATGGTGGGAGGAGGAAACTGATTTCTCTAACCTCCTCTCGTATGCTATGGCGTAAAAGCCCTCCTGAATCCCAGCAGAAAAATAAATGTAACTTTAAAAAAAAAAAAAAAAAATCAGTGTCCTGGATGTTCAGGAAAACGGAAGACTAGAAACTGCCTCCTTGTAATGGATAAATTCCCAGCACAGATGACCTTCCAAAGTTAAATCAAGATATAAAACAACTAGCCGGGCGATGGTGGTGCACACCTTTAATCACAGCATTCGGGAGGCAGCGGCAGGCGGATCTCTGTGAGTTCGAGACCAGCCTGGTCTACAGAGCTAGTTTCAAAACAGGCTCCAAAGCCACAGAGAAACCCTGTCTCGAAAAACCAAAAAAAAAAAAAAAAAAAAAAAAAGATATAAAACAACTTAAATTCATAAAAAGCATTGGGAGTGATGGGATACAAAAAGTGTCTCCACAGAGAGAAGCCCAGAACCCAGATGAATTCACAGTCAATTTCTACTAAACTTTAAAGGAAGAGCTAACACCAGTGTTCCTCAAACTGTTCATAAAACACAAAAACAGAAAGGGAAGGCAGGCTGCAAAATACAGTGAACAAAGCAGCCTCACCACAATCGCAAAACCAGAGAACAGCAACAAAGGGCTATAGATCAAATCCACTGACAAACATAGACACAAATTTCTTAATAAAATCTTTACAAATCGAATTCAAGAACAAGTGAGGACAATCATATACCATGACCCATGACCAAATTGTTTCTGTTCCAGGCATGCAAGGATGGTTCAACATATACAAATCAATTTGCAATAAAGCACATGAACCATGTAGGGCAAGAATCACTGGGTCATCAGTAGATGCAGACTAGGCCTTTGACAAAGCCCATGTCCCTTCAGAATAAAATCCTTGATTAAACTACAAATAGAAGGAACATATCTTAGCATAATAAAGGCTATATAACACAAAACTATAGCCAATATTACACTAAATCCTCTAAAATCAGACAAGGTTCCTATACTTTCCACTTTTACTTGGTATAGTCTTTCCAAGCTTAACTAGAGATTATTAATAAGGCAAGAGAAAGAAGGAAAAGGAATACAAATAGAAAGAAAGAAAAGAAAAGAAAATTACCTCTATTTACAGTAAACACATCCTGAACCTAAGGGTTCATAAAGACACCTTAGAAAACTCTTCCACCTCCAAACTGCTTTCTGCCTCCAGGAAGGACGGGAATTCAAAACAGAAATCCACAGTCCTAAACACCTCTAACTTACCAAGAAAAAAATAAGGGGGAAGCTCTATTCATATTTTTTTCAAGATTTATTTATTTATTGTATATACAACACTCTGCCTGGATGCCAGAAGAGGGTACCACTCTCATTACAGATGGGTGTGAACCACCATGTGGTTGTTGGGAACTGAACTCCCAGGACCTCTCTGGAAGAGCAGACAGTGCTCTTAACCTCTAAACCATCGTTCCAGCCCCGCTCCATTCATAATTTAACTTCCTTCCTCATCAGAGGAGTATAAAATGTCTACAATGAAATAAGACACTGATGAAAGAAATTCAAACAATTAGAAGATGGGAAAAAAACCCAATACTCATGGGTTGGCAGAATATAGTGAAAATAGTCATATTACAAAAAGTTACCTACAAATTCAATACAATTCCCATAAAACTCAAATGATACTATTCACAGAACTAGAAAAAATTCTAAAATTCATATAGATGCACAAAATACCCCCATAAGCCAAGAGCAATCCTAAACAGTAATGCTGAAGGAATCACAGCATATAATCTCAAAGTATACTAAAAAAATCATAGTAACAAAAATGCCCAGCAGTAACATAAAAGCAGATCAATGGAATTTAATAGAGTACCCAGAAATAAAGCTACATAACTGGGACCAACTGATCTCTTACAAAGATGTCAAGAAGATACATCGGGAAAATGACATCCTCTTCAGTAACGGTGCTGGGAAACTGAAGATCCAAAGGTAAAAGAAAGAAACAAGATTTATTTCTTTCTCCATGGACAAAAGTCAGTTCAAAATAGACCAAAGACTTTACTACAAGACTTGAAACTCTGAAATTGCAGAGAAAAGCAAAACTCTTCAGAATATAGACATAGGCAAGGACTTTCTGGAAAAGACCTTAATAGCACAGAAAATAGCTCCAAGAACTATCAATGAAATTAAATAATATTAAAAAGCTTTTGCACAGAGACAGAAACAATCATCAAAGTAAAGAGACATCTCACAAAACAGGAAAACAATATTTGCCAAATATACCCCCAACAGGGCCTAGACTCCAAAAGATCTCCAAAAACTAAATCTCACAAAAGCAAATCATCAAGTGAGTACATGAAGTGGAATAATAGAGTTCTAAGGGAAGAAATACAAGCGCCAAATACATACTTGAAAAAGCATTCAACATCCTTAGCCATTAGCAAAATGCAAATTAAAGCCACCTAGGAATTCCATTGCAGCCCAGTTATCAAGAAAACAAATGACAACAGTGAGAGTGAGGATGTGGGACAATCAGAACTCTATTTATTGTTGGTGGGAATATAAGTGGGTGCAGTCATTGTGGAATTAATACAGAGGTCCCTCAAAAAGCAAAACTGGAACTACCACAGGATGCAGGTATACCACTCTGAGACGTTATTGTAAAGGACTCTAAGTGAGCACACTATAGAGATACCTGCACATCTGTGCTTAATGCCACACTATTCACAACAGCAAAGATCTGGAACCAGTCTAGCTGTCCACGAAGAGATGAAAAGATAAAAAAAAAAATGTGGGTATATATACAGTGGAAATGTACTCAGCTGTAAAAGAGACTGCAGTCAGGGAGTTTTCAGGAAAATAATGGATCTAGTGATCATTATGCTAAGCAAATGAAGCCAGACAAAAGTAGAGGAGAATTTAGATAACAAATCTATAAGGATGTTTCTATATGTGCATGCATACATACATACATGACTGGCAATGGAAGGGACTATGAGACAGGAAGAGCTCTACAGGAAAGCCTAAAACAGGAGCGGGCAATGGTACATGTTTGACCTGAGAGCCAGGACTATTTGGGGAGACAAAGGGAAACAGAGCAAGGCAGGAGGGAAGGACAGTGGAGGTCAGGGAATGGTTGAATAACAACAAATGTACTAATATATACATATGAATGTCACAATGAAGCCTTTATTTGTAAGCTACTTAAAAGCAATCAATGCTGAGGAGGAGGAGGCTGCAGAGGCAGAGAAGGGGTGGTGGCAGTGGAGCTGAAAGAAGAAAGGTTCTAAGTCTGCACAATGGCACTACCTTCCTAGGCTAAGGGAGGTGGGTAACAAGGCCAACCTGGACTACACAGCTAGACCTGAGTCAAACCGGAGGGGGAGATGGGAAGGCTCCTTCAATGGCTATTTCCCTCATAGTAAGAAGAAGAGCTGCTGTGCTTTTAGGAGGCCCCTCAGGATCTATACATCTGCTAACACTGTCTGTGTGACCCCACCTCCTACAACTGGTAGCCTCATACCCTCCCTCACACTGCTGCTGAGCATTCCCTGCCTGTGGCCTTTGTAGTAGTTGCTCCTTCTGCTTGAAATGCCCCTGCTCCCCCCAGACATGGCTCACCCCTTTTTCTTCTTTCCTGTAGACAGAAGTTTCTGTCCTGCCTGGTCCCGCTGCCATTCAGTTCCCAAATAAACACGCAGAGGCTTATATTAATTATAAGCTGTCTGGCCTATTGTTCAGGTTTATTCTTAACTACCTCTTGCAACTTAAATTAACCCATAATACTTATCCATGTTTAGCCACATGGCTTGATATGTTTTCTCAGTAAGGCGTTCTCATCTTGCTTCCTCTGCTTCTGGATGTCGATTGCATCTCTGCCTTTCCTCTTCCCAGAATTCTCCTTGTTTGGTTGCCCCACCACACCTCCTGCCTGGTTACTAGCCAATCATCATTTCAGTAAACCAATATGAGTGACAAATCTTTATAGTACAAGAGCATTATACCCCAGCACTTTCCAGTAGAGATGCATGCTCTCTGGCTCTTGCCATCTCCTTGTTTTGTTCTGATTTTAGTAGAATTAGCAATATCAGCACGCAATATACTTTACCCATATTCTGTTTCTTGTTTCCCTTCTCCATATACTAGAATGTCTGTTTTCTTTACCAGTTTACCTTAGTGCAACCAGAAGGGGGCCTGGCGCAAGCTCAGTGATCATCGCTTGATTGACAGGACAAGCAGCTGTGTCATAGTCCAGGTTTTCCACCAGTTCTCATTATGTTATGAGATTGCTTAATCATGAGATTAAGCTTGAGATTGCTGAACCGTTTTTATGATTCTCTACCACCTATTAATCGTTATGTCTTTATCTGAGGTATAATTTATTTGTAATAAAATCCATTCATTTGAAGTATAAAAGTCAATACTGTTTTTAACTTACAAAGTTGCATGATCATTATCACAAATCTCCTTAGCATGAAAGAAGGGTGCAGGCTTAGCCCCTTCTCTGTATAAGGGTGCAGGTTTAGTCCCTTCTCTCTATAAATGTACCTGCAGATGAGGGTGCAGGCTTAGCCCCTTCTCTCTATAAGAGTGCAGGCTTAGCACCTTCTCTCTATAAAGGTGCCTGCAGATGAGGGTGTGGGCTTAGCGCCTTCTCTCTATAAAAGTGGCTGCAGATGAGGGTGCAGGCTTAGCATCTTTTCTCTATAAGGGTACCGGCAGATGAGTCCAAGGACTGCTCTGTCTTCACTGAATATGATTACCTACTTTATATTTACTTTTGAATAATTACAGAGGATGCCTGTTAGTACAAAGTTGTTTTTCTTTGTTGGCTGGTTGGTTGGTTTTTTGAGACAAGGTTTCTCTGTAGTTTTGGAGCCTGTCCTGGAACTAGCTCTTGCAGAGCAGGCTGGCCTCGAACTCAGTAAGATATGCCCGACTCTGACTCCCGAGTGTTGGGATTAAAGGCATGCACTACCACCAACAACTGTCAAAATTTCTTTTTTTAAAAAAGTCACTTATGTAAAAAAAAAAAAGTTGGAAAAAGCTAAACAGTTAATATATAAAGTTTGGAAATATGGAAATCAGAAGTAAATTTAGGATGTGCACCGACCTCACGATGCAGACCCTTTTAGCTAAGACTTCAGAAAAGCAGTTTACTCTCACAAATATAAGCCAAAGCACGCTTACTGCTAGGTGGGCGACCATTTTCCTCAAGTCCCTCTATTTCTGCCTGCCTTCAAGGAAGCCACTTATGGCCCTGTGTTGCAGTCCCTCAGCAAGGATGTATGTACTGGGAAAAACCATGGTGGGGAGAGAGTCAGTGTCCTCCTGCAGAAGCTAGGGCAAAGACTTGGAACTTGGAAGGTGCTTCCAATGCATTAGAAAAGTCAGCTCCCTTGTCTCAAGGTTCTACTCATATAATATAAACCCTTCTTGTGCCATGCTACCTGCCCACTGTGTATTTCCTGTAGAAACTGTCTCAAAGAGAGCAGTGGTCTGAATGTTTGTGCCCTTCACACCTAAATTCTTACGGTGAAATATTAACTATCGCAAAGAGATAGCTCACTTTGGGAGGTAACAGATTCCGAGGGCAGACCTCTAATGAAAGGACTCAATGCAGATATAAAGGAGGCCCAATGAAGCTTTGTCCCTTCCACCATGCAGACAAAACGAAAAGGTAGCATCTATGAATACAGAAACAGGTCCTCTGCAGACACCCATATTGCCAGTGCCTACTATTGGGCTTCCCAGTCTAGACAAAGAGGATAAATTCCTGCTGTTTAGAAGCTGTGTGGCTGCCATGTTTTGTCAACACTAACATGCTGAGCTCTGACTACTCTGATTGTTAGTGTAACCTGTCCTCCCCTCTGGTTCACCTCTTCTGTGTTAGACCCTCACAAGGTTGCAAGCAGGGGTGAATCTCAGCCCCATCAACTTCTTGGTCATCCTCACCTCATTGTGGATATCCTCCCCTTTTTTCAAAACTGAAGGTTCCAAGGACTTCAGAGTGACGTCGCCATTGTCCAGTTCATTGAGGACATTCTGCAGGGCCAACTGGCAGCGTTGTAAAATATAATCCAAGGTGCCCGTGGAGCACTGCCAAGAAAGAACCACAGCAAGCCTGTGAATGCGTCCAAGCTCACCATGCACTCTCCTCCTCAGCTGCCTCTGCTCCTGTGCTCACCTGCCATCTTCACCTGCTCATGCTCCATAAATGAGAATTACAGTGGTGGCCTGTTCTCTTGATTCTGCATAGCCAGTCAGACCTCACTAGGTCCCACAGGCTGCGGTCACACTATGTGTGACTCCTCTCTCTAAATAAACATGCACTGAGGAGTGTCATATACATGAGGTATTTATACACACACACACACACACATATATACATACACACATATATATGATCAATGGGGGAAGGGTGGTAGCCAGACTAGAAAATATGGTGCAAAGCACATAAACTAGAACAGCAACAATGTGTATGTGTGTGTCTGGGGGAGAGCAGAGGGGGAGGACATTATAAATTCAAGGCAAAGAATGTTCTCCCTTCTCTACATATAGGAGAAAGTTGCAAGTCTTCCTAGGACAAGTTCTAGGAAGACTATGGGGCTTAGGCTACAAAGTACACTCAAGGCAAAGCTGAGACCTCGCCATCAGTGGGGACGGAGACAGCTAGCTCATCTGTCTCTAGGCTTTGGGAATGTGACAGAGCTCAAAGGGACACACTCCTTTGAAAGAGCATAGGTTGGAACAACCAAGCATACAGATGGAGTATGAATTCACTTATTTTGATAATAAAATGATTTCCTTTGGATGTCTGAGGAAAAATGTATCCTTAAAATAGTTTTCTTTTAATATTTATAATTTAAAGCAAGCATGTGGAAAAGCCCCCAGAAGCAAGTCTTGTGGTACAGAAACCATCACTGCCTCTTTATGCAACATGGCATAGATAAGTCTGGGAAACACTAAGCTTTTGTGTTCACACAGAAGCGTGGCTATTATGTATTTTAATGTGGTGACCACAGAGTGTAGGGTGCATGAGGGTAGGTAGCAGTGAAGAGGAGGGGTGAACCCCTACTCACTCACAAAGTGCCCTGTTACCTACATCTAAGTGGCACTCACCAAGAAAGGCATCCCACTTTCATCTTGCTTTCTAGGCATGAGGCAAGGCAGGCCCATGCCCATGCACTACATCTAAGAACCGGGACAACCTGCACCCCCACTACTGCGGAGCCAATTGAGGAGCTAAGCCCGCCCAAACCTAACTTTACTGATGGCCCTACAGAAGAAATGCCAGACTCTGTCTTTCTGACTTTATAAAGAACTTAGGAGTGTGCTGTAGGAAGTCTTATAGCTAGTGGTTACCCGCCCACTGGGGCGTGGCCTCTTATGCTATATAAGCTAATGCAGAGCATGCGCCCAGCCTCTTTTCCGGCCTCTCCCTCTGTTCCGGTTGCGGATTTTGGTTTCTGATCTCCGTTCCAGCAGAGGATTCTGATTTGTGAGTTTACCCCTAAATAAATAACCATCTATTTCTCAATTTTGAGCTAGTGTGGGATTTTTCTTAAGCATCCGTTCCACAGCAGTGGGCCTGCATTTTTGGAGATTTTATTCTTTTGTGGGTTATAGCTCTATTGCAATTTAATTCATGTCATGAAGGGCAACTGTTCAAAGCAACGACTTGGCATTTTTAAATTCTATTTAGAGTTGCACCATCATCACCACAATTAACTCCAGGATAATCCTGACACTCCATATGAAACCCTTGCCCGTTAGTGTCATTTCCACCAGCACTAAATTGCTTCATGCTGTAAGTTGACAATGCTGAAGTCACACACACACACACACACACACACACACACACACACCTGTCTGTTGCAGCATGCATCAGTATTTCAACCTGGTTTAGTGTCAAACAGTAGTCCCTTATATGGATATGGGATGAACACCTGTGCTGTGTCCAGTTTGGGGCTATTATGAGCATTCACGCACAAGTTTGATTTCTCTTTACCATATATCCAGGTATAGGATTGCTATGCCATAGAGTGCCAGCATTCAGCCTTTGGAAGTACCAGACTACACCAGAGTCACTAAAGAACATAGGGCATTCCTTCCAGCAGTACAGATGAGCTCTTGTTTCTGCATAGCTTTGCCAACATTATTCCCTTCGTTTGACTCTGGCCATCTTAGTGTGTGGATGGTATCTAACTGTAGCTTTCCCCACATCCACACACACATTCTTCAGTGGTATCCTCTGAAGAATCAAGCTATAAGACAAAGCACAGTCAACCAGCTGGGCACTGGGGTTGCTGCTCAGTGGTTGCCTAACATGTGAAAAGCTTTAGACTTCATCTCTAGCAACCCGTAATTAGTTAATTCATTCATTAAGACTTGGATAGGAAACCAGTCTATGATCCTGTCACTAGTGCCCTGTTCTCTAAAACCCTAGAGTGACTGTTTATAATTCCCATCCTGATCTCAGGTGATAGGCTGACTGCCAGCCATTGCCCAGTCACTGGGCTGGGAACATGATTGGGGACCTCAGAAGTTCTCTGATGTCACTGTAAGCTTCTCATAAATATATATTCATATGTCCAGCTGTCCAACCAAAACTTAAGAGAAATGTTGATCTCAGTCATTTGAACCCAAATAACATATACACGAAAAACTAAATTCGCCTCATTTTCTTTGCTTTGACCATGGCAGGATCATGACTATGGTCAATCACCCATGGAAGTCTAAAGTTATCAGCACAGCTAATGGCATTTACCTACTTCATGAAATAAAACCCTTGGCTGGTAAAGATGGCTCAGTAGGCAAGACACTTGCTGCCAAGCCTGAAGACCTAAGTTTCACCCCTGCGACCAACACAGAAACTGTGGAAGGAACTGACCCCTACAAGATGTCCTCAGACCTACACACACACACACACACATACACACACACACACAAATACACACATGTAATAATTTTTTTTAAAGAAACAGTTCCAAAAAGCAAAATAAACTTATCCTATATTGTGAGTAAACTTGAAAACTGTAGCCACCTCAAGCCAGAGCTTAAAAGTAAGTAAATAAAGACCGAAGGCAAATTAGACGAGAGTGATTTCCCGGGTGAGCGTGCTTCCACAGCCCTATGACAAATTGCTCACTCAATTGCTCCTGCCACATTCAGTAAAGTGTGAGTCATCACGTTTTATTTTTGCTTACCTCTGCCACTCGGTGGGTGGAGCTAAACCGAGGCTGCGAACCAGCCAAAACACAGTGCTGGTGGGTGGCATTGAGATCATCTGCAGAAAAAACACAGAACACAAAAAACAATGAATGTTTATTAGTCAGTGCACACTATCCATTGTTTAACAATCACAAAGGAAACAGTAACAGTGTCATCCAAGAACGACAATCACTAAGGAATTAACCTTATCTTATAAACTGGTCTTTGTACTAGGATGACCACATCAATATTGCATGTATATGTATAAAATGAATCATTCAAACCAGGATTCTTGTATATGTCTACAGATATAGGTTTCATAAATAAATCACCCACACCAAGATACTCTCAATAATGCTCAGGGCTATCCTTGGCAAGCATGGCAGCTCGTCTCCTGCTAACATGCGGCTTCGTGATGCTCATCCACGACCGCGTATTAGAACTACATCATTAGCAGAAGCCAGAATCCTTTTCAATTATTTGGAAATAAACATCTTTTATTCCAGGTTCATCTTTGTCTATCTACTTAAAAGTGTTCATTTTGCCTTGACAATTAACCAACCAAGCATGTTTGGCTCTTGGACCAAAATTCAAGTTTATGGATCGTGATTCCAAAAACAGAAAAAACAAACAAACAAGCAAAACAAAGCAAAACGAAAAAAGGAGGGGTGACCCATTAGTTGAAGAATACTCTTAAAACCACAAGCAGCAAGAGACAAATCGGAATCTAGGTTTCTGTGTATTCTAAATACTGATGCTATTGCCAGGGTCTCAATCACATTCACTTAAAGCATTACCTCAGTTATTATAGAGACCAGAATTGAACAGCGGGTGCCTCAAAAACATGTGATTTCTACATTAGGCAACAGGCCTCTAGCAGATACCAAGACAAACAATGACTTCCGCTAAAAGCATCCAGATCACCTCTAAACACAGAAAAGAAACACAAAGGACAAATGGAAGGCTTCTGCTCCCTGACAACATGAAGTAACAGTAACAAGGCTTGCCCACTACCTTTAACAATTAAATGCTTTTATGCTGGGCGGTGGTGGCGCACGCCTTTAGTCCCAGCACTCAGAGGCAGAGGCAGGCGGATCTCTGCGAGTTCGAGACCAGCCTGGTCTACAAGAGCTAGTTCCAGGACAGGCTCCAAAACCACAGAGAAACCCTGTCTCGAAAAAAACAACAACAACAAAAAACCCAACAACAACAAAAAACAATTAAATGCTTTTACACAATAAAAAGTAACACAGCAAAACAAGGAATCAAAGGTTTCCAAAAGAGGGCAAGGAGAAACAGAATAGGCAGGTTTACAACGCCCCCCCCCAACTTACTGCCTGGAAAGGGGTTCAAACACAGAGTGGGGAAGTGAAGGGAAAGGAAGCGACAGAGATTAGGGGGTGGAAAGCCAAGACAGTAAGATTCCTAAAATGTGCTAGATTGCGGATGGGGAGTGGGGATAAGGGGGAACACGCTGCAGTCATTGGCTAAGCACCAACCAGTGTATGTATGAGTGAAAATTCCCAAGGGATGAAAAAGAAGCCTCAGAGAACAGCAGCCTGAGCAAACCCCTTACCTCACTCCTGACCTGGAATGTGAGCTCAGGAGAGGAAATGCTCCTAGGACAAGGTACCAGGTAAGACTCAGGAAAAGTGTCACCTTAGTAACAAAGTTAAACTAGTGCTACAGGAAGGGTTGTGGGAGATATACCCAGACAAGTCGAAATTAAGTCTCTAAAGACTCCAATTTATGTAAGTAAATTAATTATCCCTTGAGGCCTAATTTAACATCATTTAAAAGACTGCAACAAAACAGACATGTGTCAAATACCACATAGTCTAGTAGTCATTGAAAAAATAACAGGAGAAAACCTACATCCACATAAGACTTGTACAGATCTTTCTTTTACCTACATAAACTTTCATCTTATCTGAAAATTAGATATTTAGTATCTGAAATTTAAGAGGTCACTAAAGGAAATTTAGTTGTAAAGGAGAAAAAAAATAAGTAAACAAAAACACATGAGGAAAAAAAAAAAACCTCTCCAAAATAAAAGAAACAATTTTAAAAAGACCTCAAAAGACGAGAGCTCATCACTATCCAGGAGCACAAAACCCCCAGGACCAGACTGAATCACAGGATGCAGATCATTTCCCTCTTGCTCACCTCACCACTTCACTGAACACACGTTTAATGCAGCTCCATTACCAGAAATATCATGTTATCCACAAAGAAGAAAAATTCTAAAAGTAGAGTTTGAAAGAATAAGCAAAATAAGAATCAACAGAATCAAAGAGGGAGGGGTTTTAGATAACATGTATTAGGCAGATAAGAGGAAATACGTAAATCAACACCAACAAGACCTGAAAGTGTCATCTGCTTCCACTGGCTACAGGCAGATAATGCCCTCAAGGATCACTTATCTTGCAACACATCAGAGTTTCTTTCCCTTTTAAGGCTGGATAATACTTTATTGTATGTACATACCACAGTCTGTTTAACCATTCATTAATGGATGGGCACTTGGCTCACTTCCATCTTTTTGCCAATGAGAATGACCACTGGGTATAGAGATTTCTTTGGGAGGACTGACTTCAATACATTTGATACATAGTTAGAAACAGGATTCCATACATAGTTAGAAACGGGATTCCCGGCTTGTAGAGTGATTCTGTTTTAGCATTTGAGAAAATGCCAGTCTTCCATAGTTTATACTTCTATCATTAGCACACGAGCTTTCTAGTTTCTCCACCGTCTTACCAACATTTGCTAGTTTCTGTTTCACTTTTTTTAAATCATGGTAATATCAATTGGGTGAGAAGTAATCCAGGGCTTTTGATGTACATTTCCCGATGAGTCATCTTTTCAGAGCACAATTAAATAATCTGGCCAATCAAATTAGTCATGGGTATCTGAAATCAAATCATCAAATTCTCAGCATATAAAGGAAAATATTTGTGACTACCCAGAGCATCATGATGACTCCTCAGACATTCTACTGAAGATGGAGCCACAGGACAGACAGCAGATCAGGAACTTTACCGCAAATCAAAGGACAACCCTTGCACCTCAGATTATCCATGTGCAAGATCCAAACAAACACCAACTGCAGCACCACACTGTTGGAAAAGGAAATTTATTGATTCAGATTCTACAATGCATATTGTCCCAACTAAGAAGGGGGAGAAATTCTGAGAAGAACCTGAGAAATTCAACATTCAGAAACACAAGATCCCTAAAAGACCAAGAAGTAATCAGTAAGATAGACCACTCTCCTCCCACTACACCTCACCACCTTCCTAAAAGCCTATTTAATGCAGTTCTATTCACCTGGGATATCCTGTTACATATCATGAAAAATATGAAAAGGCATTCTAAAAGGCAAAAAAGCAGAGCTTGAAAGAATGAGCAAACATCAGAACCAGTGAGATATGACAAGAATGTTAAAATTATCAGACCATTAATTTTTAAAAACTGTGATTAATATACTAAGGATCTAAAGGGAAAAGTAGACAACATACAAGAACAGATGGAGAACTTGAGCAGAGGGTGGGGATTCTGATCATCAAAGAGGAATGCTGGAGATCAAACCCCTAGCAGCAATGCTCAGCATCTCTGATGGGCTCATTAGCAAACGGGACATGACAGAGGGATGATCTCAAAGCTGAAGATATGGTAATAGAAACTTCCCAAACTGGAAATCAAAGAGGAAAAAAAAAGACTAGAAAAAGTAGACTATGGAAGAACTATGACACAGCTATAAGAGGTATAGTACATGTATAATGGGAATACCAGAAGGAAAACACAGAATGGAACAGAAGAAAATTAGAAGCAATGATGAATAAAACTTGCCATAAGCCATCATCACACACCGGCCCACGAAAGCTCAGGAAACATCAAGCAAAGTTACGTGTCAATAACAAAACAGCATCCAGTACTTGCTTAGGTCCTACGCGTTGTTTTTATTTGTTTTGTTTTGTTGATGCTGGGAATGAACCCAGGGCATGCTAAGCATGTTCTCCACACCACTAGGCTACACCTCCACCCTGACATAGCACATTCAAATTTCAGGAAATCAAAGACAAAGGAAACTGAATGTATCCAGAAGAGAAAACAATTCATCTATTTGGGAGCAAAGACACAAAATGACATCTGACTTCTCCTCAGCAGCTGTGGGGAAAGACCTGCGGGGAGTTAAACAGTTAGCACTAGCAAAGCAAGGTGAGCGACCTAGAGCTCTACCACAGGAGAGCGCCCTTCCAAGGCAAAGGGGAAATAAAGACTTTTCAGACGTGTGAAAACCAAAGTATTTGTTTAGAATCACATTTCAAAAATGTTAAGCTTGTCAGAAGAAGAACAGTGTGGGTCTGAAACTCAGTCTCCAGCAGTCAAGATGACATTTCAGAAAGAAGGAGCAAACATTAAAAGCTACCGTCTTATACTCTTGTTCTCAAAGACAACAACTCATTACGTATGTCTACGTGGACTGCAATAAATGACAGAAAGGATATGAAGGATGAGGTGAGGAACTGGGACTACTTTGCAATTTTAGTGTGCCTCAGCAATGGCTACGTAGTAAAGGGTTTCCTAAAGACAGCTCTGGATCAGTAGTAAACATGACTTACAAATTCCAGGGCACTAGAAGTATCAGTAATATATAAAACAGAAAAAAAATCATACAAAATATTCAAAACTACAAATGGCAGAAAGGGAAGGGGTTTGTTCTTTTGAACAAAAGCAAACAGAAAGCAGCTTAAACATGGCAGTTACTACATCGACTAGATCAGTAATCAGTCATCAAATACACTGATAGCTTTGAGGATGACCCTGAGACAATTCAATTTGTTGCTGCAAGGGAAGGGTACTCAAGCCTAGTGAGGGAGGGTCGCCAGCCTCGGATCACACTGGAAATGACATAGGTGGGATCCGACCCCAGCTATAAAAGCTGTACAAGAAAACCATCATGCACACTAGTTCCAGGTTCAGCTCCTTCCTGACTCTAGGCCTTGAACAATTACTGTGACCTTCCTCCATAGCTGTCTCTCTGGGGAAACTACGAACTTAATAGTTCCAAAT